TTCTGAATTATCTTCAAATATAATTGAATTTGTTTTTAATTCTTTTATTCCAGGTTTTCGAAAACATTTATCACTATATTTAACTAAAGCTTCAACTAAATTTGAATTTTTTGTTCCAAATGTAGTCCATATATTACTTGTTTTTATTTGTTTTAAATTCATATAAATTCCAGCTCTTCGTATTTTATCATAATCAGTTGATTTACCTCCTTGATAAACTAAACATTTAAAATATGATTTTATTAAACTATTAATCATATCGATATAAGTATGTAAAACTCCCCATGCACGTGGAATCGAATGATGAACACGTGATGTATCCAAATCAGCTGGTCCAAATCGATCTCCATGAATATATCTTGGAACAATAAATCCATGATCATTTCTTATAGATAAAAAAGCTTTCTTTCCATATTGTGCAGCAGCTAATATCATATCACTAGCTGATTCTCCACTTCCAACAATACAAACATGTTTATCAGTAAAATCTTCATAATATTGAATATATTTTAAATGTTTTATTTTTCCTTCAAATAAATGTTGATTTTTAAATATTGGCATATTTATATTTCCATAAACTCCACAACAAATTGCAATACGATCAAATGTATAAATTTGTTGACTATTATTAAGAAGAATTTTCCATTTATTCTCTGAATAATCTTTCCATAAAGATTTAACTTCTGTTTGTAATTTAATATATTGTTTTAAATGAAAATGTTCGGCATAATCATTTAAATATTGTGAATATTCAATAAATGATAACATTCTTGGTTGAGAAAGAATAGTTTCATCATTTCCAATAAAATCACTAAACATAGTTAATAAATGACTTGATACAAATATTCCTTGTTGATATGCTTGAGTATATAAACCACCGATAGAATTTGATTTTTCAAAAACAGTACATTGATGACCTTCTTCTAATAATTCTTTTAATGTAACCAAACCACTACAACCACATCCAATTACTCCAACATGAACTTGTCGAATATTTTCATCCATTTTATATTTTCCTTAAATAAAATTTAAAGAAAAAAAGTTTTTTTTTTTTTTAATGAAATTTCTATATAAAGGAAATTGTTTTACTCTCTATTAAAATGATAAATATTTGTTTGCCTATATTATTCGAACGATTTAAGATAAGATCAAGTATGTTTTTTTCGAATAATCAAAAAGAAAAAAAAAAAAGAAATTTTATTCAAAAAGTAAAACTTTTACCTTCGTTATTTAAGTTTTTTTAAAAATTTTTCTATATCAACGATAAAATTGTGTTCCTATCAATTAGAAGATGAGACAATGATCAATTTATCTAAAATATTTTAAACGTTCTTATTTAGAAATTCTCATAAACAATTGATTAAATTAAACATACACCGATTAGTGTCTTTTATGGATACAATTTTTCATACACAGTACTCAACTAGAACTAATCGACATTCGACAGATATTTTTACAATCATAGTACAGTTTTCAAACCTTTACTTTATATGAAAACATATACTAATTAGTTTCTTTCAAAAATAGAATTCCCACGATGACTTTTTACTTCTAAAATTCGATCAATTTCGTTAACAAGGGAACGTTCTCAGATGATCGACCCCATCTACTTTCATATTATGCTCATATGTAGGGACCAATGATATCAGAATAATACGCAAAGAGCTCATGATCTTATTGAGATTTTACCGAGATATCGAATGTTTAGTGGATTTTTTATGTAGGAGATCAGTTTTGCAGCAAAATTATAACTTCGAATTTCGATCTGAAACTTTATTAACATAAAGGTTTCACTTAGATTAGCTCATGTATAAGATTTCATTATTTTTGAACATTGTGTCTCTGAGGTAAGAATCTTTCAAAATACTCATGTCTTATAGTATCTGAAAGCAACCGTCATTTTTTTGAAAAATTCATATCTCGAAAATGCAATGTTCAAAAAAGATGAAACTAGGGATGTGGGTGTTCATGCGAAGTAAAGAATCATTCGTACCTTTCACATTCACACCCGAATCTATTTAAGAAAATCAAACAAAACATACAAGAGAGTTGAATTTGACCTAGATTTGATATCTGTCTTACTTCATAATTTTTTTCTTTTCGTTTTTTTCTTATGACGTCATGAAACTATTTATAGAAATGAATATAATTGCTTCGTTTATTGATCGATTAATCATCAATTGATGAGGATTCAACTAATCCAATAAATAGATTGTTTTAATAGTTTAAGCTTTTTTTGCATTAATTCGAAACTCAAAATCTTTTCATATCAAATACTTTATTCATTAAAAAAAAGCTTTTTTTAATTTCTTTATAAAACATAATAAAATCAAATAAGATAGAAGTTAAAAAAAATCTTATAAACAATATCAACTATTATAATAAGAAAATGCTAACCTTGTCGATAAATTCTCTGAGAATAACTAAATCTATAAAAACAACCAATAAAAATAAAATACGAATTTGTCTATCGTCTAGCACAAATGATGAAATCGAAGATAAGAAAGAACAAAAAGAGTCATATTTGAGTACTATGTCGTGCGTTTATTTGCAACATCACAAATACATCACGGTCCCGTAAGAACCAGCAGTAGTGCTTACGACTTTCGGTTCCATCTATAAATGATTGCAGAGAATATTTTCTATCCAAATTCAAATTTATCGAGAAAAAACACTTCCAGAATATATTTTACTAACACAAAATTTTCACAGCGCCATCTATAACAAAAACTTTATCTCAGAACTGGAGCCGGTTTAAGCTCTGTAGTTAGGACAGACAGCTCAAACTCATGGACAATATCAGAGTTCAACGAAAGCGACTCAATTCTGTTAGTTGTAACAGACTTTAAAGCTATTTACTCGTTTTAATATTATACACCATGATACAACACTTCCAAAAGAAGCCGGCAGTTTTTGTTCAATCCGAGTCACACGCATAAGAACGTATCTTTTAGATAATAAATATCGCTTTGTTTCTTTTTGTGATCATAACTCACATTTAATTAATTAAATTTTAAAATGGTATCTCCTCGTTCCTGAAGAACGGCTCATCAGGAAGAATTGAAATTTTCAGAGCAGATAGATTTTGATAACTAGAGCAAAAGTTGTCATAAAGTCAAAATTTTCAGACGCCATGTTCAGTGAGATACTGGGATCACAATAGCGAAAAATGGCTTCAATCTTCTCCCCCGTTTCTCCGAGATGCTATGTTTGATCGAGCTGAAAATTTTTCAAGGTATTAGATACTGTTTTAGGTAGGTATCTTTTTACTTATTCGTCTTTTGAATAAAAAAGCTAGAATATCGAAGGTACTTCAAACAACACATGTCTTTTTTTTAATAGAGCTTTGTTTTGTATGAGTTACCAAAAATCAACAGAAGAATATTTTCTGAAACAAAAAAAAGTATCCACCCGAAACAGTGTCGCGTATACGTGAAAAGAGTTTCGCTTTGATGGGGCCTACTACGTCAAAGAAACAGGGGCGTTTCTACACTTCTTTTCATGAAAAAATTGCTTTGGGCAAAACAGGAAAGAGTGTACAGTTTTCACTGTGTTCGTTGTGTAAATTTGATTTCTCAAATTTTTCAACGTCTAAAGATGAACCAAAAATTTTTAACCATCATTGATGCCATCTATGTTTCTTCATCCTTCTATAATTTCTGCATAACCTAAATCTCCATCCATTCACTACATACAATCCTGCTTGCAACGCTAAATACGAAACCAATAACTAATTCAATTATACTTATACAAGAAGTGAACATTCTTTTATTATTTTCGTACTTTCTGTATTTCAATTGTTTGTGATGATCTCATCAATATGTGAAAATCATTGTGTATAATTTCGCAATGTAATCAAGAGACCAACCCATAAAAACAACTACAGATGTAACCACGAAATTCAGAAAAGTTACAGAAAATGATGATATTGATTTATTTTAGAGCCCATTTATAGGATAAGCGGTTCTATATGGATATTTTATCTCAACCCTTTGGGGACGGTGGTACGTACGTTGTACCATCTATTTTCCAGTATAGAAGAAAACATCGGTTTTACATTGAATTACATGGTTCTGATAGCAAAGTCTCTCTTCTTTGAAGCTGAGAGTGTAAATTCAAGAAAAACTATTTCTGCAAAGAAGTCTAAATCAGAAATATAACAATATAGTTTTAATTTTGGTAATTAAATGTATGTACTAATAAAGGAAAATGAAGAAGATATGCCTACTAGTACACAAAAGAAGC